TGCTGCATCGGAGGAGGAGGATAGAGATGAACAGCTTCTCCGCCCCAAGTCAACATGTTGACTCTGGCAGCTGCGACAAACCGAGAGCCCACGCCGTCGCCCTGGCCTGATCCGAACCTCCATGTGACTTCACGCTTGACTTGCCTCCTGCATACAGCTTCCACAGCGGGCTGTGACCCAAGCAGAAAACACATATGGATTGGTGTCTGTCGAGATTTCCATCTCCGTTGAATAGTCCCAAAGAACAGTGGTCACCATCGCGCACAACCTAGGGTACGCACATCGTTATATGTGACCAATTCCGAGAACGTTGTCACGGTTCCTTCACGGAATGTGCATCGTAAAGAGCAGAGCCCATTGGGAGCGTCGCAGTTCTGTGTGTCGCTTATAGCAGGTCTATGTATTATATTAATGCATAATGCTCCTCAGTACATAGTTCTTTATGTATATAAGAAGACTTCACTGGCAAATGGCATTACAGCAACGCTATGATGCTCAATGGGTATCCAGGGAGGACAAACAGGCCACTGTCGACGAGGACGGGAGGAAGAAGTACGATGCGGCGATAGAGGAGAAGCAGAAGTAGAAACAGATGGCGCAGCTAAAAAAGAGTATCCAGGACATGGGAACGGCATTGGCGGAGGCGACTGGCATGACGGTCACTCGGGCAGCCGATCGACTTCAAGTTCTCCCTATATGGGAACTTCTCTGCCCAAGTTGATTTCGTTGACCGAGCTAAACTTGCAGACCACTGTGTGCAGCAATGGCATCGACATTGACACAATCAACTTGAAATCGGCCGAGAAGACACTGAAGCGTATGGAGGAGAAGCCTGATCTCGTCGAGGAAGCAAAGAAAAAGAAGGCGCGCGAATTAGTCATAAGCATCAAAAACTATAAATGTCCATATTGTCAAGACAAGATGGGTTGTCGGAAATGTTGTTTCTGAAGGCGGCGCAATGCTTACGGCCTTGTTTAGGATTCATAAGCCTGAGCTATAGCATACAGTGGCTCGAACGTTGTCCGTACAAGCTTGTACAACATCCGCCGACGTGTCATAGAGTGCTATACCATTGTTGCAAATGCTAGCTTTGAATCTTACTGATGCGATAAGAGTGCCACTTGTATCAAAGCCTCATTCGCTCATTAGTAATGCTTGTTGGATCCACGACCCGTTTGAATTGGGGCGATCTGAAAGAGCGGCACACAGCTGCATGCTACAAGATCATCGAGTGACAATCTCAACCACAAATCTACCTGAGTGTGCTCCTTAGAACGACTCATTCGATTGTGATACACCTATTGTACAATCAATTCACCGCAAGTGCACGAAACCATTCAAGATATATTCGTAGATGGAAAGATGCGGTTCCCGATGTCATCTGCAAATTCGAAGTTCAACTGAGCACTGGATGGATGATCAAATCTAGCGCAGATGGCTCACCAATCAAGTATCAGTCAGTGGGCTCCCAGTTGGTGAGCTCGACGTCAACGTGGTACGAGTCCACATTCTTATACACCCCTTGCTTCAGAAGGTCCTCCGTCTGCCCATTCGTGTACAACACCTTCTCCCTGTACGAGAACCCAACGTCGAGGAAGGCGTTCCTCACGATGACTTTGGCTTGCGCCTTCTTGTGCGGGGGTACAGTGACACTGGTCGACTCAGACACCGTCTTCTCGACTCCGACGGACCCACCCCACTCATGACTGTACGATGCGGAAACAGAGATTTCCCACTCGACGCTAGCGATGAAGGGTACCCCGGCTTTAAAGGTCCCCGATACTCCAAGCGTGATCCCAACAGAGTTGTTCCACGTTCCAGACTCGGATTTCGAGTAGGAAAACCCAAGGTCTTGGGTCACTGTAGAGTCAGAGTCGTTGCGAACGGATGTGCTCAAAACGATCAAGGGAGGGGCCTGGCGCACTTGGGCTCCAGAGATCTCATACTTTACGTCGTAGACCTCGTTCTTGATAGACGCTTGGACGACGTCAAAGCGGGAGGATGCTTTGATGAAGTCCCAATAGAGAGGACAACCATTCTTGTCTAGATCGCTCGAAATGTAGTACCCGGTGGGGGAGACATTGTCAGTCAAATAAATCGAACTGTCGGCAGTGTGAATGAATCGGAATGAGAAGGGTACGCTGGCCGCGTCATCGCAGGAAAGCCAGCCGGAGTAATAGCGGGTCCAATATTTCCCATTGTTTCCCTGGAATTGATACCATCCATTGCCTTTGGAGACAGCTTGGAAGACGCAATCACGATCGGCATCACCACTACGGAAAGTCAGAGTGCCGTACATCGGAATCGACCGCACGCTCAAGTAGCGTCCATCCTTGTCACGAATATATAGCCATTTCGGGAGTAAATACGTGGGCTCGTCACCTTCTGCTCTGGTGGTCAGTGCCCGTTTAGAAGATACGACGGTTGTGTGTCCTACTCACCTCGGGGGAAGTTGGGAGCCGGCGGGGCTGTAAGAACGACCTCCTTCTCGCCGGACTTCACGACTACACTATAAGTGGTCGGAGCCTCAGATTTCGCTATACAAGTTAATCGAATCGGAACTTTGTGAATCCGAAGTGGCTTTGCTAGGCGCACCATCGTTCGTCGACATTGTAGATTGAATGGTCAGGAGCGTTAAGTTTGTGCAGAGACTGTAGAGGGCGGGAATGCTCGTGTCTGAGATGATTCCGCGTACACTGGCAGCTTTATAGATTGTTCGTGAGGGTCTCCTCCCTAAACAAACTGTGCAGGGTGAATTGGCAATAAAACGTTAGCCCTGCAGTACGACAAGCTGAAGAGGGACCAGGGCCCCGGTGGACTATAACAGCCGATGCGAACAGGCCTCTACAGAGACTCGCGAGCACCACATATATCAAGATCAGCTCTCCTTGCGCATAATGCATGGCAAAGCGTTCAACTCACGAGGATTATTTGGATAGGTAGAAGTAAGATAAGCCATCACGCGAAGACTCGTCAACGCAGGTTCTGTTCGCCTCCGTGAATATAGCTGTCGTTGTGATAGGGATATATTATCCAAGAAAGTGGTGAAGAACTACGCGAACGTATTCCGACAATGCATATGCACCAGCTTCATGCCATCCATTGGAGACTTTGCGGAGTCCCATCAAGTTCGTTTGTGCTATGGTAACTGTCGCTTCGATTGGGAAGTGACGAATGAAATATTCACGCACGAAGTGTCAGGTAACAGACAAAGTAATGGGGAGTATGGAAGCTACGAATTCGTCGAGGAATTTGTATAACATCTTGGACTGCTGACCCTTTTTTCAAAATCTGAGAACGGAGAAGTCACCCCTGTATTTGAATACACAGAGTCTCTGCTGCTGAATTGAGTTATAATGAACGGACACAGGGTTGAATTGGAGTGTAATGAACACCTTAGAAATTTCTACGAGCGTCACGAGCGGACATGGGCACTCAATGAGGCATGTTCTGGCGGCATACCTGGTCATATGAGTGATTTTCGCTGTGGATAATAAAACCTCGGCTACTGTTTAGTCCCATGTTTGTCGAATGGGACAGCGCGCATAGGTCAGACGAGGACTTGCCTAGCGTCAATGGGCTTGTAATATGCGTCTGCACAACCAGAGATAAAGAATCAAAAGAAGACAAAAAGAGACGTGGGCCCAGAAGCCCACACCAAAGAATTGACCATTTCTGAAGGACTGATTTTTGCAAGGGAGAAAAGGTGTATGGCACTAGAAATGCACCTTTCTGATGCCTTTCCGACGTCAGAAAATAGTCAAATCTTTGTTGTGCTTATTTCATTCCTTGTTCCGCCTAAGCGAGATCCGGCGGACAGTACCGTCTGCTTCAACTCGAGTAAGAAATGCTCACCAGATATCCGTCCATTCCCCCCACCACCTCATATCGCTTTCCCCCTAAAATTCTAGGCACATTAATTGGCAGATCTGCGCAGGTATGAACGCAACGAATATCGACGTTATGCGACAAACCATCGAGTAAGCCCAATCGGAGAGGTTCGTCTAATGCATTTGCA